CTACGGTTCAGGGTCTCAGAGTCATAGTCTGTAGGTCTTTCGGCGCCCACACTCGGACACTCCAGGCGAGGCATATGGTTCGAGGCCTGCTAACAAAGTGAGACTGTTCTACTGAGAGATTTGGACAGCACAACAACAAGTTCCCCTACAAATAGACCTAGTTTAACTGGGCCGTCCCTCTCACTGAGATGTCTGATATGACTGAACTACCTGGTTGGAAGTGTAGCATAATGCTGCCTGGCGGGGACAAAGTAGGTCTTTAGGCTCCAGAGATGACATCGATGATCATAGGGTCAGAGCAGGCTCTGGGGGCTTTTTCGTGATTCAGGGGATGGGCCGAGGGACACTGCCGGAGCCGCAGGTGAGAGCCCCAAGCCGAAACATCTCGTGAGGTTGCACTCATTGCTGAACCTTTAAAGCCCTCAAGCCTGAACCAAAAGCCCTGGACCCTAAACCCAAAACACGGGCCGTAAACCCAGAAGCAAAGCCAGAAACTCTTGAACCTGAACCCACAAATCCCGAAGCCCTAAAGTCACTTCCGTCCCACACACCTCCTTCGCAGCCATATGAAGGGTCTTGAGGTTGCCTCGGCTCAAGTTTCGGGAGAACTTTCAAGTTGTTCTTGGGACTGGTATATGTTTTGTGGGGATCAGGTCTGAGTGAAGCCACAAGACCTTATTTGCGAGTCATAAGCCTGTTCAGCACTGTGCCTAGCATGAAGCAACAACCGTGTTAGGAGACACCTCTCTATGTCGAAGCGTGAAATAACTACGTACTGGCAGAGGCATCCTGTGCTGGAGGGTTTAGTCTGATGCTTCGGAACAGTACTTGCAATGCACTTGCCTCTTATGCCGCTGTGTGGGTCACTTGTACGCTTGCATGGGCAGAAAAGGCCCAGTACGGTATTGCAGTTACTCAAACCCTAAACTCCCGAACGATAGCCTGCAACCTGGACAAGCCGCACGCATGCCCCGGACCGAAGCCAGCAGCTCTAACACGGCCCACGATCTCCGAGAACTCGTCGGCTGTTAGCTTGCCCAAGCCTTTCGTAAGCACACGCTGCGAAGGCTAGTTAAGGGTTGTCTATAGTTGCTATAGGGCCAAGGGGTTGTGGTTTATAGGGTTTCGAGCTTTGGGCTTAGAGGGTTTCGACGTTTCGGGCGTCAGCACTCCAAGTTGTCGGTTTGAGGGTTGAAGGCGTCAGACTCAAGCCTAGGCCCGAACCCCGACCCCAAAGAGCCAGAAGCCTAAACCCTGTGGTAGAATCAAACTCTACTGACTACTGACTACGGCTCGAAGGGAGCGAGCCCACATTCGAAGCTGCCTGTCGACATCACCAGCCACGTGAGACTGAATTCCTAGCTGTCGCCCCCCGAAAGACAAGGAACCCTCACAGGCTGGGCATCCCGCGGATGCCCAGAAACTCTGAAGACAAGGCCTTCCACGAAAAGACCCCAAACCCGAAGCAGGAAGCTCGATGTGGCGAAGGCCGTCTGCTCCTCCGACCTCTTGGTTAGGGTTTACCTGACCGAGCCACCCTCATTCCTAGAGAGCTCCAGACCCCTTAACATCTGCACCGTGAAACCTCAAGAGCGTCGTTGTCATGCCAGGCAACAGCCGAAGGTGTTCACCCCAAGATTCGCCAGCAGGTCGGCGAGACAAGGCACTCCTGCGCGATGGGAGGTGTCGGAGGTACTCGAAAGGTACGTTCACGACTCGGGCCTTTGGTGCTGTGGGATGTGCGAAGTCCGCACGCTGAGGACCCGGGTAGTTCGACACTTCAATCGTTGTTCAGCCTTGAGGGTGCGGCGTGGAATGTTCTGTATGATCATACTTCCCTGCATCAGCTCAGGAAGTGCAGAGCTCAGGTTGCAGGGCTCGGGATGGGAGTTGCCGCCCAGACTGTGCCCAGTCCGCCTGAATCCAGGAGCCTTTCGGACAGCTTCTTGGAGACGACCTCGGCTCCACTGTTCAATCGGTTCGCGGGTCTGTTCTATTCACGGTTAGGGTATCTCAGTGATCTTTGCAACAGCTTGAACTGTTAAAGGCGGACTTTGTCAAATTTGCTGCACGTAAGCAAACTCAAAAGCAGAAGGCTTGAACCCACTTTTTGCTACTGGCAAGTCTAGCCAGTCGACGACCCAATCATTTTTTCAAAGCCACTCAAGCCTGAACCCTAACCGGCAGATTGCAGATTCAAAAGCCCAAACCCTTTTACATTTACAAAACCCTAAACTCTAAAGCCCCAACCCTAAACCGTAAATCTCTTTTTCTCAAGCCCCGCCCTTCCCAAAAGAGAAGCTCTCGTCCTCAAACTTTCCTGCAGCTTAGGCCCAGGAGTGTCGGTTTATTTTGTGCCTCCTAGCAAAGACGAAACTGCATTGCAGAAGGTCAGGATTTGGTTGCTCTTCTCAAAAGGCCGATGTAGGAGCCAGATTCTCCCATCTCGGGATACAGTTTGAGGTTTCTGCCAGCACAATCACTCTGAGCTCACAGCCTGTGCATGCCCACACCCCACTCAGCTCTAGCAATTCGGATTTGCCCATTCAGGTCTCTCGGCTTAGGGTTTAGGGTTTAGGGTTCGGTAGCTTGACTGCAAGCTATGTGGCCTCGACAAGTTTAGGGTTTGGACTCTCGCAACTGGGACTCTGCAGGCTAGGATGGTCCACGGGGTCAAAGGAGCGGGGCAGCCGATCCTCGAACCCAAACTAGCCCTAAAAGTCACCCCCGAAGTAAGTGAACAAGAACGTTTCAAGTGGGGGGGGGGGGGGTCAGCATTTCTCCCTTCGGCCAACCTCTTGGGTTGGGGTCGGGGGTGGCAGCTTTGAGGTCGGGCTTATGGGAGGGCTTGGGGTTTGGAGTTAAGGAGTCGGATTGCCAACTGCTCACAGCCTGGAGCGTATATACATATATATATATATATATACTCAACCGCGCAAACTTGAACCCTGAGCATGAAGCTCTGCACCAAACCCTCAAGGACGAATTTTCACGGCAGCACCTTCAATAGTTGCAAGCATGCGATTGAGTAGCTTGCCCGAGCATGCCGCAAGCATGTTGATGGACAAAACTCGAAGAACTGAAGCCGAACATGAGCGTGATAAAAGTAGACCACCGGAAAGCCCTACAACCCCAAGCGCCAAAACCTCGAAGCATCTTGAACCCGCCTCAACTCTAGACCCCCAGCAAATAACAAGTCAAAGCAATGAGCTGGGGTCCCCACGGGAGCCGCGATTCTGGGTCGCTCCTCCTCCTCCAAATGGAGGCGAGTGAGCATCAGGCTTGGGTGTAGGAGCCTGTTGTTTCCGGTCAAGGTTACTGCTGGTAGGCTAGCAGTCTTCAGTCTTCGTCCTACTCATGCGTAGTTGTGTTTGTTTTGTCAGCGATCTCCTGTGAAATTATCAGTACGTGAAAGGGGCGTCTGGGCTGTAGCTGGCATCAGAAGAACAACAGCGTGCGGAACTCCAACCTTCAAAATGAAAGTTGAAATGGTTGAGATTGAATCAGTTGTTGGAATTCCAGACTCGACCCCCGGAGCCAGAAAACACAAGAATTCGAACACCTCTCTGCTCCCAGATGCTTGAACTCCCAAGATACCATGCTATCGGAAGCGGCAGCAGCTCAATTCTCAAAGAACGACTCGGCTCACAGCCGGTCTGTGCCTCGTCCGGCCCCATGGCTCAGAAATGAGTGTCGGAGCAACAGCGGGTGCTTCAGTTCAGCAGAAACTCTGAGTTTACGTCACTGTATGGGTAATCATATGTAGGTGTATTTTCCTGCGAAGTCATGACGAGTGGAATGCAACCAGATACTACCGAAGTCTGTTACGGCGTGTTCTCTTCAAGGGGACTGCGCATCCGTTTAGTTCTGGCTTGGCTAGCGCTGCTTCAATGATTTAAGGTTTAAGGGGTTGCGTCGGCCCTGGCAGAGGGAGAAAACTTGTCTGCCAGAGCTATGGGGCGACAGACTTCCACAAGCCAGCCGGCTGCGACAGCAGTTGGAGCTTTCAGAAACACCGACGCCCCTTTACCGGCCATAAATGAGTAGGTAAGGTCCGTACCTCTCGGACATCAAGCTGGGGACATGTGACGACGCAAGGTTTGAATGCGGAGCTTCGTCACGCATCTTGCATCCACTTACCGTACCCTCGACCTACACCGGTGTGGCGTAGGAAACCGAACGCTTGTGCCATAGATCGGAGTACTCCAGCTGCATCTGCTTCGTAGATAATCTTTGCAAGGTGCGTTGGCCAGTTTTTTCTTATACGGCGCCTCCTCTCTCGGTGATAGTCAGGGTCTAGATACATAAACCTTCCAGGACCCTCCTTGTACCCTCAAATATGGTCCCAAATAAGGGGCATTTAGGGTCTAATAGGGGGTAGATGGAGGGGCTAGGTTGTCTGGTAAAATATTCCGAAGGACTATCGGCGCATCAATGCCGACACACCAGCGGGACTGGGGTCGACGATGCGTTGGTTTTAGGGCTCCTTGTGCCTGTCCACTTTAGGACTTTAGAGTGTCAGGCTCAGGGACCCATGTAACAAGATTCTCGGCGTTCAGAGGCCTCACCCCCAACCCGATTCCGAAAAATGCTCATCCTGAACCATTGAAGTACACCTGCAGCTGGAAACTAATTAATCTCAGAGCAGCAGCCCTAAACCTGAAGTCACCCCAAGCATTACCCAGCAAGCCCGGACCCTTACCGCTAAACCCTCCAACGAACACCTCAAACAACTACCCCCCCCCGGCAAACATTTATCAACCTTAGGCCCTGCACTCGAAAGCTTTCCGTGAAGATGCTTAGAATACCAGGACCCTCCTTGTACCCTCAAACAGGGGTATATGGTCCCAAACAGGGGTATATTGTCCCAACTAAGGGGCATTTAGGGTCTAATGGAGGGTAGATGCAGGTCTAGGTGCCCTTTCAAGTTCTAGAGGCCCCCGATCCAGCCCCTAAAAAAGCAGCCCATGAAACCCAGGAGCCCCAAAAGTGGCTCTTGCCTGTTGCACCTGCTGCACCAGCAGGGACTGCAGGCTGAGACCCGGGACTCGGACCTGCGACACGGCTGTTGCATCCATGATGCAGACCCTTCTGATCAATACCCACCCCCCTTGAAGTGGGATCTACACGATGCATCATGTCCCGAAGGTTTCGACAGTTGATACGGCTAGAAAATTCCAGTGGTGACTGTACCGGGCTTCAGGGGTGATGCCCTTCGAGATGAAGGGCTTCTTTGGGCTTCTCATTCGAGGCTTAAGCTTGGGATTTGATTCGTAGTGCTTGCTTTCCGGCTTGGCTGTGCAACTCGAAAATCCGCTCGATACTGCCTTGGATCTGCATGCAGTGAAGTTCCAACGTCGGCCGAGGTCACCGTGTCGTCCAACTACAAGAGCTCACACTTGATACCCCGCCAGCTGCTTCGCAAAGCTTCGCTTTGTCAGATGGAGTGGCCATGAGTGGCCTGTGAACTTCAGGCCTTATAAACTCTAAGCCCTTCCCTCCACATCCATAACACATGCACCGTAGATCCCGAACCCACTGCCGTACTTTCAGACCCACCTTTCGACCCCCAACTTACCATCTCCGTGACGAAGCCTCGAAACTAAACCCCTCAAGACACTAAGGATTGAGGAGAAAGCGCAGAACCCTCCACCGCACAATGCACGAGCACCCCAACCCCGAAACCCCAAAAGCCCCCAACACGGAAAGCGAAGCTGCCCAAAGCGACCCGGGGCCCCAGCAGATGGAAACGGTGTCTGCTGGCACTCCAGGGAGCCCTCTGCGCCGAGAACCTCCCGGCCCACCTGAAGGATGTTCTCAGGGTGTTTTCCCTCTCGCATGGCAGGAAGCAATGTCCAGAGGCGAGGCTATCGGGGTGATTAGTGGGTTCGGTGGCGCAGTTATAACAAGGATCCTACTGTTTATAGGGTATTATATTGGGGTTCCCTATTTTCAGAAACTCCCATATATAAGGATCCAGGATGTTCTGAAATTGCAGCATGGTGGAGCCATCTTCAGCCCTGCTTCTGTTCTGGCTTTGGGTGTACGGTGGTAGGATTTTCTGCCGTGTAGGGCTTGGGGGGCTTAGTCTTATAGTCTTAGTCGTCCAGACTCCACAGATGTCTCTTTACGGGTTGCTTGGCGGTTGAACCGTGACAACACATCATGGGAGGTTGATGCTAACTATGCCTCGGTGTGTTTAGACAACCCCCTGTACAGTAACACTCCTTGACTTCTATCGAGGACACGGGACAAAATCAAATTGCAGTCGTCCGATGTAGTGATGATCACCGTAATCCCCAAACCAATCTGTTGACCATGGTTTCTTGGGAGGAGGTCTACATGGCTCTCGGACTTGAAACTCTAAGCTCGAGGCTGATGGGCATTGGGGTGCTTATGCTCCGTCATCGGCCGAGGGGCTATATACGGAAGCCCACATAGGTTGTGTACGCAAGATGCATTTACGTATATATATATATATACACACACACACACATACATACATACATACATATATAGATCTATCTATCTGTATATATATATATATATATATACACATACTTATACATGTATGCAGGACATAACACTCAATACATATACATATATATATATATATACATATGTATATATGTATGGTGCAGCGCTGCCAGGCCCCCCTCCCCCCGCCTCATGGTATTCCCCCCTCCCCCCTGTGGTGTGGGTTCTCCCTGTGCCTCCCCCCTGTGGTTGCGGTCGGTTTCCATGGCTATTGCTGGTTGGGCGTCCGGTTGCTTAGGTTTGGACCTTAGGATGTGATACAGTTCCACTGAACTCCGACCTGCCGTGAGCTCCAAAGCCAACCATAGTGATGAATAATGTAGTGATGATGATGATGATGACGAAGATGGTGGTCCTGATCCCCATCTTCGCTCTCCTCCGGTCCCTTGCTCAAATGTTCCGAACGAAAACCATTCAAACACGTGCTCAAGCTTATTTTTAACGAACCCAACCGAAACTTGGCTTGGAATGACAACGGTCTACAGAGTTCGCGCAAGAACATCACAAGCCAAGCACGATTTTCAACTAAATCAAGCAATGAGCATGCGGTGCCGAAGCCCCGAGCGGCATAAGAGCAGGGGTACCACCAACAGCCATACTGGGAATAGCACATCAACGTCATTGCGCACAACATCATCGCCACATTCTCATCTGTGTGTCGAAGGGAAGGGCAACGGGCCCTGTGGTTCCCTGTGGTTGTGGGCTATCCTTCCCCACCGCGCCCTGTGGTTCCCTGTCTTGTGTTCCATATTGTGGGTTATCCCTCCACCCCGTTTGCTAAGGCGAGAGGCCTGTCTCGGCGCATACCGTTACGCGGATGACGTGCGCCTGTTTGTTGGATGGGGGGGGGGGGGGGGGTATACCATGGGGGGGGGGGGGGGGGGGGGGGGGGGGGGGCGACGCGGCACACATACATACATACTTACATACACACACATACATACAGACACGCACAAACATACATACACACATATACACATACACGCATGCATGCATGAAAGCATACATACTTACATATGTGTATATATATATATATATATATATATATATATATATATAGATATATACATACATACATATGCATGTATACATATATACATATATACATATATATATATATATATATATATGTGTGTGTGTGTTTGTGTGGTGTATGTCTATGCATAGGCAAATGCACATGTAAATGTATTAACATGCAAATGTGTATGTACGTACATATACATGCAGACACCCACAAACACTGGTGCATATGTACATGCACTTGTGCATACTCATAGTCATGTTGTATGGTATGTACATGTTACAGGATAGTATGTACATGTATATAGTTAAGCATGCATACGCAACCCGACATATGTTCAAATGCACATGCGTATACATGCATGTAGAGGTATACACACACGCAGACATGTACATACACTTGTTTACATCAAAACATTTTCATACACACATGTATATGCATGTGCGTGTTCGTGTATATATATACACACAGAGAAAATACACAAAATCTACACAGATGTATGCATGCACGCACGCATCTATGTATCCAGCCAACTATGTAGAACTCGCTTGTCACATGGACAGCTTGAGCACAGTACATAAGTATCTCATCGAGCATAAACTCTCGTGCGAAGACATGACCCAGTTATTCAGTATGCACTGTCATTCTGAATACTGGACTTACTGCAACACGGATCTATGTATGCATGCGTCATTTCAATCATTTCGATCTGTGAATCTAGAAGTCTTGATCCGAAGACTCGCAGATAGTATGTTACCAGCAGGTTACACAGCTTAAAGTATAAGAACCAACCAACAGGGCTAACTATCTCCTGGCAGTCATTATTCGGCCACAGAACTAACCCTTTAGAATGTTTCCACCAGGGAAAGTCTGATCATGCAGACCGTCTGAAATGTCCTCGCAACCTCGGTATGGCACTTGACTGGCAGAAACGAAAGAGCCCCCGGGACGAAAGAGGCAGGATCGTGAGAACTTCAAGCAAAAGACCGCGTCAACATCCTCATGACCATAGATCTTCATGTGTCGGGCGATGATGTACGGCATAGATATCCATGGTACCTCGTGGAACTTCAAGCCCCAAACCCGTGCTGCCTCTATGACGAATTGCTCCGGGCTCACTACTTGGCTCAGCTCATGGCCCGGATTCCCGCAATTCACCAGATCGTAAAGCTTGAAAAATGACCTCGCGGCTTCTCCGCCGGCGAGGAAGACCTTATCGGAGCTATAAACTTCTCTCGGATGGTTCGCGTCCAGCTTGCAGACGTTGGACACCACTCGGCCAAACACTGCCCAAGGATCCCGACAAAGGTCCAGGTGCATGTCACTGACCCAGTGAACGTCCTCCCGCTGCCAGAGCACATGGGTGTAGGAAGCCAGGCCTTCTCGTTGCAACATCCGCAGCGAGATGTTCCATAAAAGCTCCACGTTCTTATATGCAAATCGGGTCCTTCGGTAGTCTATGTGTAGGGCGGTCCCTCGGCCAAGGTACCTGTTGCAACCATGCAAGGGAGGATCTTCCTTGAGCCCTGGTTGCAGAAATTGCAGGAATAAGCGGCTTGCGCCGTAGGCGTGTGCGAGTCGCGAGACCAAGCTCAGACCTTGCCGCAGGCTCGCATTGGCCAGTTGGGGATTGGAGACTGATCTGCCCTCGCGCTTGGTGTCGATCTGGTCCGGGTTGAATACAGCATTCCTTTGCTCAGCCATTTGGTCTGGTGCTACCGTTGGCTGCCAATCCAACAGCGCATAATAATCTACTTCGTAGCCTTCTTGTGCTGCTGGCATGACCACATGCCTGAAAGAACTTCGAGGGTAGTAGCGGTCCTTGATGCCGGTCACCAGCACGGCCAAACGGCCTTTCAGCTCTGGGTTCTTCCTGGGAAAGTAACAGCGTACGGTGTTCTGCTTGGCTCCCCAAAGTCTGCAACCTCGCGGCAGCATGGCTGTGGCAGACGAGACCACGGATTCCTCTTGGTACCCACCTAGGGGTGGTGGCGGCGGCTGAGGCTGTTGTCGCATCTTCTTACGCTTGCGGTATCGCACATGCTCCTTGCACCATTCCGTGGTTGTGCGGCCGAACTCGGCCTGAAATCTGCTCTCCGTCTTGGGAAGATAACGATAGTGGTGAGCCCCTGCCGGCAAAGTCTGCCTCTGAACATGCAGACAGCTCCACACAGTCAGCTGGTCGAGCCACCTTTTGCGATTTGGGAAGTAGTAGTGCTGGTAGGGAAGCTGGAAGTCATCCCACACCAGTGTTGCGTTTGTGCTCATATTGAAGATCGTTTTCCTAAGTGCGCGAGTGAAAAGGCTCGGCAAGTCTTGCTTGAAACCATCTGACTCTCCCTGCACCCGCAAAAGCCGGACAAGGCCATTCTCATCCAAGTGCCCGTCCTCTGCATACCAGTCGAAAAGATCTCGGAGGTTGGGCTTCGCATTCAGCCTCATTACATCCACAGCGCCGTGGGGCCACGGGTCTGTTCCGCCTGCCAAAGCCACCGCCAAGAGGCATGCTCGGCACGCAAGGAACATGAGGGCCCAGCAATCCGAATCCCAAATCCTTGGGCCGGAGCATTGACCAATCGCAACGCAACAAAATCGGCGCCGAAACCGGTTCGTAGGCCCAAGCAGGAGCTTCGGGGATTTGTGGTCTGAGTTCAGGGGATCACCACTCTTGCATGTGGACTTCTATGCGTTGACCTGTCTCATCCCAAAAGCCAAGAAGCTGCATACAACAAGAACCGCCTTCCTGTGTGTACCTGCTAGCACCGAAGAACGACTCCTGCCAAACCCAACAGACCCCTATACGTGTATGTTCCTTAACCTCTGACCTGATGCCCGATCCCAAACCCCAAACCTTCAATGCCCTGTAGACCCTGAGCCCTGAACCTTCAGCTTCACCGATGAACCTTCAGCTTCACCGATGTGCCTGCGTCGCCCTCCCTCCCTCCCTCCCTCCCTCTCTCTCTCTCTCTCTCTCTCTCTCTCTCTCTCTCTCTCTCTCTCTCTCTCTCTCTCTCTCTCTCTCTCTCTCTCTCTCTCTCTCTCTCTCGCTTTCTCTCTTTCTCTCTCTCACACGCTGAGCGGACTCAGAAGAACCCCGAGACCCTGCACCCGCAAAGTTAAACTCTCGATGCCCGAACCTGCAGGAGCATCTCTGCGGTAGACCCTGGAAGTGCAGATTCATCGTCAAGGTCAGCCGCATTTACGGCGATGAGGATGTCCTGCATCACTACCCTCAGAGCCCCATGCGCCCACCGCCTGCTCTAGTCCCTACCGTGGGCCTCTCTGGGTCCTGACGTCCTGTATTTGGAAGAGTTCGATGTGGTTCCAGGACGAAGTTGAGCCAAAGTGCCGACTTATTCAACCATTCACTTCAACGTGGACTGCATGATCGTCACCCAAATCCAGCAAGCCGCGGCCCCTTGAACCTCTAGCCTTCTCTGCCCTGCTCCGAAAAGCCAGAAGATAAACTGCTTCATATGGCCTAAGATGACTTATCAAATAGCGACTGTGTTCGAGTGCCATCTGCAGTAGCATTGAGGGAGATGGCTTCTAGATGGTAGTATGGGGCCTCAGCCAGGATTAGAGAAAGAGATGTACTAAGTTTTTGAGTCGAGACTTTAGGAGCATAGCTCTTAGTAGGTCTAGCTTCGAGATTTACGTGACCGATAAGCAGATAAGGAGAAGCCCCATTCTCTTCGGCCTGCTTTAGGCGGACATGCCCATCTAAGAAGGTGCGGGTTCAGAGCTGCTGGCGCTGCGTTTTGCTTCGGAGACGTGTGGGATCCCGGCCATGCTAATTGCGGGGCACCTCGTCCTAAAGTCTCAACTGGTTCGCTCGACGGTAAGAAGAGCCTGCCTCAGGTTGCTGCGCCTCAGTCGAGATCGCGTCTTCAAGGGTTCAAGAAACGTAGGCACGGTGACTGCCTGCCAGTACAATCCTAGCCGATAGCTTTGGTGGATCCCGCCGGACGTAGACTACTGTACCCTAAAACCCGCAGCGAAGAAAAAAGTAGCACATTCTGCGACCGTCCTTGGGCCTCGAGGGTGGGAATCCGGCAAGGGCCTGGGTATAGCCGTAGAAGGGTCGTGGGCTTTGGGTGCGGTGGAAGGCCGTTTGGGGTTTAGTTTAGGAGCTTAGGATGCCTGGTGAGGCTCGGTAGGTGTTTAGCGTTTGACTCGATTTACGCCGGTGTGTAGACCTCTGGCAAGCTCTCACATGCAGACGAGTATGTGTAGTTAACGATCCGAGATACCCAATTGCTTAACACTAATGCCCGAGCAAACGAAGCAAAACGTTGCACGCTACTTTGCCATACCCGTGGTCTGAAGTTCTAAGACCATCAGGCGAGTTCAGTCGCTTCAATGGCGTCGTCTAAGCACAGACACAGGGTTCACGTGAGGTACACTCACTAGAGTCGCCATAGACCCAACCCATATTGCAATTGGGAACACAGCTGCTTCCTGGGATTGGAAGCTAGCAGGGTGTGAAGGCAAGCTAAACCGCGGCTACCAAAATGCCTGCTACACAACCAGCTGACTTGCAGGGGGGTTAGCTTTTGGCGCGGGGGCTTGGGATTTAAGCCTTGGAATGTAAGAGCATAAGATTTCAGCATCCACTGTGTAGCACTGTCAGCTTTGTAGTTGAGGACAGGGCATTTACAGCGAAGTCTTTATTATCGGGATGTCCTTCACACTAGAAGTGTCCGAACTCCACAAATGCCGGACCTGTTAGCCCGGCATGATACTGGGTGTAGGGTTGAGGGTTTAGGGCTTAACTCCTCAGCGCTGAGACCAAATTCTTCAGCAACACTTTTTTACGTCTGCAAACCAGGGACCAAGCCAATTAAATCCTATAGCCTGGTGAAACCTATAGTAGAAGCCAACAAGTTGGAAACCCAATAGTCTCAATCCTTAAGCACTATTTGGCCTTAGTCCGGTTTCCAACTTTATGGGGTTTACTGTAACATGAAGCTGCTTAGCCGAGTGGTACATGCGCCTGCAGAACCCCACCTTACCCCGAAGCCGAAGAAGCAAACTCCTGAACCTTTGGAAGCCTTGCCTTTGAGCCCCACCTCCTACAGCTCCGAACCCTGAGCCCAAAGGCTACAAAACCCTGAATTCCTACCACAAAAACCCAAGAAATGCTCCAAGTGACCATTCGCGGAGCAGCTCTCGCTGCCGTCGCATCAGCTCCTTGGTGAGAAGAGGAACTTCGACCAAAGGCTTCAGTTTTGAGACGTAGGGGCATGGGCTCAGGATTTTTTGTGCAGGGTTGGGGTCTGGGGCACACCGGGTTTTTGAGTTGGGCGTTCCGGGATCTGCTGCTTGGGGTGTTGAGGGCACCACTTGCTTATACAAGGCTTGCTGGGGCCACGGTACATCTCGTAGACTACATATGCTTGGAGTTGACAAGGGTTGCCTGGCCCATGGGGCCTCGGGACATGGCACATCATCTTGTCTGCATTGCAGCTGATGTTTCTCTGCCGCTACCGGCTTCCAACCCAAAGAGTCGTCCTGCCAGCCTCGCTTCTCCTATCGGTGCTCCCCGTAGTGATCGGCACGAAATTCCCACACGGCTTTGGTGGCGCATTGAAGACTCAAGACTCAGGCTTCAGAGTTGCTGCCCCACTCAACTTCGAAAGAACAGGTGGAGAGGGAACCTCGAACCTCTTTCTGATCCCTCAGCCCACTACCGCCACCGTCATTAAACAGACTGCCCCCTCGAACTTTCGTGCCTAAGCACTATATGATAGTAATATGATAGTTCTATGATAGTAACATGGCAGTAATATGGTAGCAATAAGGTAGTAATAGTTTTGGGTTCTGGGGCCAGGGTGGCTAGGGCTTAGTTTTAGCCTCTCGCTCTCAGCCCAGGATGTTGCAGGAGCCCGGCTGGCAACTGCATCTTCCAATGCACACCGCATGAGGATGCCGCCCTTGGACGGTCAGCTAGGGATCCAATCGGGGTCCTTTCGGTAGGCTTTTTCCGCTCCTACTTCGCAACACAAAGCCCGCCTTGCATGGTAGGTCGGTTAGACAGCTGACTACAGCTTCGGTAGGCTTTCGGTTTTCGGGGTTTCAATTCTTTAGGGTGCGCGTTTGAGGCGTGGGTGGAAAGTGAACTACCCAGAGCCAAGAACCGACGCCCTCAGAACCCGAGCTCCTTGGCTGGTGCGCTTCATTTTCATCAAGAACACCGTGCCCCATACAGTAGAGTGCACCGACTTTGTCTGCAGAAGCAGACCTGGAAAAGAGCTTCACTGCCAGCATCACAACGGTCTGCGACTGGGGCCGTGGCACCACCGCCCTCTAGCGACCAAACCGTCAATACCCAAACCCTACCCTCCTGCGCTCTGGACCGAGGCCCGTGTCTTATGAGTCCGCGGCCACCTGGGGAGACAGCCTGCGCCTGGAAGATGCCAGGGGTAGGATTTGGGTCTATAGGCCCTAAACTTCAGGGTCGCCGTCGCAAAACCGGGACTCGGGGGGCCTACCTGGATTCCCTCTCTGTTTAGAAAGGCCATGAAAACTCTTGACAGAGTGGGACGTGTTCAGGTTTCCAGTTTGGGATCCGAGGCCACCGTTTGAAGCCTTGTTTTGTAGATCTCGCTGTCACAGCTACAAGTACTAGTAGCACAGAAGCTGGAAAATATTCGACCTTCCAGGCACTCTTGCTTTCGCGTAGAACTGGACTTGTTCAACTTAACCTCTGCTGACACGACAACTCGATGCCAACAGAACGGTGCGGCGAGTCGAGGTGGTTCGGCACCCTTCGACTTTGCTTACTTTGTTTCGGGTGACCAGCGTATCGCACCAAAAACCGTCTTTTCAGGTGTTGTTCCACGCAGAATTTAAGCCTCACAGCGGCACACCCGCTAACTTATAACCCGCACCCGCACTAGAAGCTTCACATGACGAGCCTCAATCATCTTATACGGCTTCATGTGGAACCCCCTAATTACCCTATGAGAACCTCTCGTCTGAAATCCCAAGTCAGAAAAACTGCGAGCCCTACCCGTTACCCGGAGCTGCAACAGTATCCGCTTGTAGTGTTCATCACGTCCTTTTCAAAACCCAAACGGCGCTTCTCGCAACCTGCCTTTCAACCCTTTAAGCGCCGTGCCTAAAAAATAAACTCGAAGATATCATTAAAAGCTACTGGGAGCCTTCGATGTAAGTCCAAGGCCAGAGACACGCAGCGACAAACACATGCTCCCTATACCCAGATTTGCAGGGGCCCCTGCGCATCGAGGACGATGGGATCGGAACCAGAAGACCTGCTTGAAGCTTGCTTTCCATCTTCGTGTGCTCCGATTCGCCACTGAAATCCGGAACCCTAAACCCTAAACGATGCTGAACCTTGAACAAGAAATCTTACAGTTCATCCTAAGCCCCAGTCATGATATGTCATGATGCTCTGACACAAGTCCCTTTGCGGCATCGGGGCGCCCCGAAGCTCCCGGCACCCGGAAGTCTTTGAGGTCCAGGGATTATGGCATATGATCGGTGCTCCTAAGAAGCCGAACACCAGAACTTCTTGCATTCTCGACTCACTTTGTGGAAAAGAGGTATGCGTGGGTCCTGACGGCTATCGACTGAAGGCTCTGCAAGGACATAGGTCGTACTTGTTAGCCACAGGGACGCTTTGGCTCGATCGCTGCTATGCTCCTTTTTGGGGTTTAGGGGTTTAGGCTTTTGGGATGGCTTCCGCATTCGCAGTCAATGTTGTCGTGCAAAGCCCAAAGGGCTTCAGCGTTTGAGACCTCGCCTGGCAGTCAAAGCATGTCAAAGCCCTAAACACCCTGAAACCTTCAACCACAGGCCGAAAACCGAAGTATCCTTCGTGAGTGCGCGACACTTAATGAAATTCTGGATGCTGCGAACATTATTCGCTCACCTCCACACATCACACCACCACCTTCAACCACACGAGCAGTCCGGAACCTTCACAACAAGACCTCGCCCTACACATGAAAAGACAGCACATGTCCCAAACCCGCCACAATGGAACAGGGAACCTAGTCTGCTGCTGGGCCAGCATGCCCCCGAAGGTTTCTCGGTAAAGCGCGATCGCTTCCTGCCGTGTAGGATGCTGCTGATTGTTTGCCTCCTGCATTGCTTGACGATTCCGCTGGACCCTGGCCGGTGTTTGTGATGGCAGGAGGTTTCGCTCTAAGGCCTCGAGCCCTCAGTTTAAACTAATAGAAGTGTCTGGCGGCCCTACATTCCTTACACCCTTGAACCTGCGATACTATAGTCGGAAGGCAGCAGGAACAGATGGAACCACGGACATCAACATCAGCAACAACACAAAAATCATCGCCCTCAATTCCGGCATTGCCACCACCACCGGCACCGGCACCGGCACCAGCGCCAGCACCACCACTGGCCACACCAACAAAGCAAACAACGGCGCCAACTGCTGCAGAAACGGTATTCAGAACCAATACCTCATCAGCTACTTTGACACGGCTTCAGGAGAGACAATCATCATCGTCATCACTATCAGCACCATCACGATCACTATCATCACACAATACTACCGTGCTAAAGTGTTAATATGAACATCAACCAGCAGAGCAACGCTTTGCCAAGGACAAAGCCAGGAAGCTGGTTACCTCTCAGGTTGAACGTGATATCGATACTGACGGTAACAGAATGTGTAATGCATCAATACTAGCAGTGGAGACGCTGCTGCGTGAGACCGTCGTAAGAAACGACCCACCCAAAGGCTATAGCCCTGGAAAGGAAACAGCGACAAATCAAATTTAAATGACTAGAGCTTAGCCAGGGAATCTCAGCCGAGGCACATCATTGCGGCCGACCTGGCGAACAGCGATGTCTAGGTCTGGGATCTCAAACTAGGCGGAGTGCAGTCATGAATGATTCGGCTGATGGGGTTACGGATCTTAGCAAAAGGGTCTCGTTGAGACAGTTGGAATCCTCGAGTTTACGACCAACCCCCTTCGCTGAAGTCTCTGCGCTGCAGAAGATCAGGGCTGTCGTGTCTTCTTTCACCACCTGCCTAGCTCAGCGGTGGCTTTGAAGTGATACACAAATTAGGTTAACTTAAACTTACTTCCGGGCCCAAACTAGGGTAACTTAAACTTGCTTCCGGGCCCAAGGAACAAGGATCCCATTCTTCAGGGTTCGAGATTTGGGTTCTCCAGCGGCCCAGCAGTTTTCCGGGGTTTGACGCCTTGGAGGCCTGGGGTCTGGCCGACATGGCTGGAATGAAGATCATCGCGGCTGTGGTGATAGGGGTAGCAACAGCAGTAGTATTAGTAGTAGTAGTAGTAGTAGTAGTAGTAGTAGTAGTAGTAGTAGTAGTAGTAGTAGTAGTAGTATGTGGACTATGAACAAAATCGAAGTTGAAGCTGAAGCAAAGCAGGAACTGAGTAGGGATAGGGATGCCGCAGGCGCAGGCACCTCACACATGGCGGTGATCGCCGGCAGCGCCAAGTCCGGTCCAAGAAAGCTGGGATGCTCGGCCTTGCAATCATTTCAAAATTTAAACCGTTTGGTTCAAGGAATTGGGTGTCTAACGGTTACGAGCCTAAGGGGTGTTAGCTGAAGAGTGTTCGATGATTTCAATGCCCGCAGCCCTGACATCACATTACGATACTCTGATTAGCTTGTTTCCTGTCTGGGGACTCCCGTTACGTGTGCCGTTAAGCAGTCACACTGCGATTTTTCGGACGAGGCAAGAGGATTCAGGATTTCGTGGGTGCTAGCCAACATCCCGGCACAGGGCACATCGAGCATTTTCGCAGTTCCGAATCATCAGTTCGCTGACTGGTAAATCCTGCTCTGCCATTCTCTGGGTGTCCTTCTCGTCGAACCAAATTCTGTCGCTGTACTTCATGCATCAGTGCCACAGATGTCGCAATCTAGATCAGGCAGAGCCAGGTATATACACGTTAAGGTGCCCCGTGAACGGATCAAACCGCAGATGCTCTTCGACTGCAACCTTCCAGGCAGTAATCACAATCCCCCCATCTGAGATCACCAGAACCTGACCAAACTAGGAACCATCCAAAGCCCTGGGTACAGGTTGAAGGACAGAGCTGATTCCGCTTGTTCCCCCCTTGCCTCCACCTCCGCGTAAAGCTTCAGCACCTTTCAAAGTGTCGAGTCTTCGCTTTTGGGGGCTCTGCGGCCGAAACTGCTTTCTGCAAGCACTAGGCCCAGCCCTATGCCCCTTGCCTACAACGAGGGTCCCTGAACCCTATATCCTTTCCAGAAGCCTTTCAGCAAGCCCTGAAAACTGGGCTCTGGCCAGAAGATCTCGACTAAAAACTCCCTCTCCGGCCCTCAGCTTTCTTTTCGGGTCTGCCTAAGACCCTCAGTGCAGTCGGAGGTATGTAACAATGTAACTTTCCAGCTTTACAGGGTTACAGGATTCCCCTCCTAGCCGGAAAGCAAAACCCTATACCGTAAGATATGGGTGGTTGTAAAATTTATGGTCCCTTTTTGGGTATACTCTAGATATTAGGTGCCGTATTATAATAAGGACCCAAAAAGAGACCCTAATTTTGACAACCACCCATATGTGAATTGCTAAGGCGCCTCGTCCCAGCTCCTCGCCCGTGCACAAGCAGCAAGTACGGTCCGGTAGGCGACACGATCCTCTCGGCCCAGGATTGGGAGGGGGGGACTTACACGACACCTTGCCCCACAAATCTATGGAACTATTTCGCCAACTCGGCGAAAACATCTTAGCCCAACATTCCGCAAATCATATTCCCAAATAGACCGTTATATCCATATGCCAAATATCAAGCCCAGAATCTCAGTCCAAATTTCCGAAAACCATCATCCCGAAATCCTATTCCCAAAATCTCAACCCAAATTCTCTTAAAACACCTTCTTGATATGTGGCATATGGGTATAACGGGTATAACGGGTATAACGGGGATTTAGGAATATGGTTTTACACAGCTTTGAGGCTAAGATTTGGGCGCCGAGTTGGCGAAATGGTTCCATGGATTTGTTGGGCAAACTGTCGTGTAAGTGGGGGGTGGGGCAGGCGAATTTTCTCATTTCCAGCGCACGACACGGAGTCGCGTCAACGACAGGTGTGTGTTACTGGAACACCTATCTCAACCTTCCAGTACACAAAGCTGCCAATCGTCCACAAAGCCATGTGCCTAAACCCAGGTTGAATGGAAAGATCCTGAAAGCCTAATGCCATGAAGACCCAGCATGCACTCGGGTTGAGGGACCCTTTGAAGTGTGCAGACTCGATGTACCGGCGCCGTTGCTACCATCCAGCACGGCTACATCAGATCGAAAGACTTGAATGCCCAGACCTTCGAACTTGTTCCCATAATCCCGAAGCCGACAGGTCCCAAGTCTATACATCTCAGCCCATCTCAAAGGCCAGTCCTCATCCCCCACATCTTCTGCACCGTACACTCGAAAGAAACCTCCGACAGCTGCATCCTAAACTCTAACATAGCAAGCCCAACCCTAAACAAACCCTACATCCCCCGTTTCGGGTCCAGTTCCGTGCCGTCACGGGCCATGGTGCCCAGGAGCTTCAATGCCACATCCGACTTCCCCAGCTGCACGCAGGCCTGGCAGTGCAGCGCTGGAGTCGGGTGTAGCTATTGTAGGGTTTCGGCGCTCGCACTCGGACAATCCAGGCGAGGCATATGGTTCGAGGTCTGTTGAGTGAGACAATGATAGGGTTTGGAGATATGCAGTTGGGGGTGTAGGCATTGTGAGGTTTCGGGTTCAGGGTTGCGGTGCAGGAAGTATAGCCTTTGGACACAGGTCCCTAGTCCTGCAAACCACGTCTACACCAACTGAGCCTCGTTTTACCCTCCGCCCTACACACGAAATCCTCGAATCCATGTCTAGATAAGCCCAGAGGGCTTTGTCTTGGCCTTAAGCACGGCATTGCAGGTCATCGAGTGTGGGCTGATGCCACGCGAGCCTTGCGTGATGGGTCGTCTTGTGCTTGTTCTTCAGCTCCCTTTTCACTACCGCTTTCAGGGTTTGGGGCTTTGGTTTCATCCTCTATTCTGCTTCTGCAGGTCGTCGGCCGACTACTCTCCACAGGACCTGTGGGACGTTGAATCAGTTCTGCAATGGTGTCCATGCTTTGCAAATGTCTCTTCAAGCATTCTACCGAGCCCGTCGGTTCAGAGCTTTTTGTTTCGGGTAGGATGGCTCGCTTACCGACCCCTTAAGTTTATCGTACGACAAACCCGAAGGCGCACTAGCCAGAGTTTAAAGCCAGCAGTTCGGGGCCATACCGATATCAACGGCTGGATACTCATAAGCTACCACAAAGCCTGAAGCAGCCCCAATTACACGCCTTACTAACATCATCTACGATTCATTAGCTCTCCCCGAGAAACACCCACCAAAATCCTAACCCAGGAGCCCATCGCCGTGGCCAGAGAGAGGATCTCTCTCCACAAGCCGTCCTTCAATTCCATAATAGAGAGGCCTTAACAATTAGAGTAGGGTTTTGAGGCATGTTATGGTTTAGTTGTATAGCCTCTAAACTGGGATACTCGTGCACACCTATTCGTGCAACTATATATGATCCCGGTTCGGCCGGCCCCCCCCTCCTCCCCCCCCCAATGGTTCCTCCTCCCCCCCTGTGGTGTGGTGTGGTTGTGGGTTGCTTGCCTCTGCCTGTGGTGTGGTGTGGTTCGGGAGTGGGTCTGCTTAGGCTGGTTACCCGACTCCCCCCTGTGGTGTGGTGTGATGTGGTGTGGTTTGGGTTTCTTGCGTGGGTCTGCTGTGGTGTGGCGTGGTTGTGGGTTGCTTCCCCCTCCCTGTGGTGTGGTGTGGTTCGGGAGTGGGTCTGCTTAGGCTGGTTACCCCACTCCCCCCTGTGGTGTGGTGTGGTTTGGGTTTCCTGCGTGGGTCTGCTTGGCGTGTGCGCCTTTGTGTGGAAAAAGCTTGCACAGTCACACACAGATTCGGCTTGGGGAGCGTTGGGCGGGGGGGGGGGGGGGGATGCCATTGGGGAGGGGGGGGGGGGGGTCGGTGAACCGAGAACCGGGATCATATATAAGTTAAGCCCTTAAGCCCACACGTCAGGCTCTTTGGTTTCTTGGGTTCATAGTAGTTCCTTTTTGGGAATTATTGCCTTATAGGATCCTATAAATATGAATCCCAAAAAGGAACTACTATGGAGCCTAGGCTCGGATTCGGGCTTCGGGGGAATTGTCGGAATCCTCGGCTTCGGCAGTTGACATCCGGAGCGCGGTCATCACAAAACGAATGCCAGCCAGAACGAGCTGCAGGAGCTTCAAGCTGACATGGGGGGTTTAGGTTTTAGGGTTTAGGGCATCTACCCCCCTTCTGCAGAGGCAGTCGTGCATAATCTAACCACTGTTCACACTCCATACGGCATTTTTTTTCGAGGAAGGGTTTGCTTTAACAACGCAAGGGTGCGGATAAACACACAAGTAGAAATGAGGCCCTTGATCACTCTGAACTCTTCGGCCTGCTTCAATCGGCAGAGAAACCCAGGGCCAGTCTGCCTTGCTACAGACATAAAGCTGAATGCCGGCAAGAGCACTAAGAGTACACCTGAATGGCATTTTGACAATTAGAACAAATGGCAGTAAGTTGGGTGGGTAAGTCACGCCAGAATGCCAAGAAGAATTATAGTAGTGACTAGTGTGACCCGATCCTTCTCGCAGACATTGATCGCCATGTCAAAGTGGACTTCCGTGAGGTTCACACTCGTGTCGTCCACAAGCTGCTGAAAGATCTCCAGGCCCTCCGAGCAGCGACTTGGGAATTGCTGAATTTGCTATCGCTGGTTATGCATTTAACCATTGGAAACGAAACCCAGTACTATGACTCAAAATGAAGTCACAGAATGTGCAAATTGTCGCAGCACCAACAGAGCGGCTTGGCTTGTGTTTAGGATTCAAGATTGGTGGCTCACGGTCTGGTCCATTTCCGCGATTTCACTCTTTTAATGTGTCCTCACACGCGTCATTCGCGCGGCCCAAGCAGCGAGATCGAAGTCTGACACGCCTAGACCTGCAACGTCAAGCCACCCATTATGCCCGACATCGCAGCCCGGTGCCACCTCTAAAACTTCATGCGCCAAAGCACGATAGTTCAAACACCAATGGCCCAGCTCGCCAGTTGGATATGCTGGCACTAAGGGCCGTTGTGAGACGTCGCATGTGTGATGAAAGCAACACCCTGAATCCTGTAAACCTCTTTGCCATCACCCTTCGTTTGACTATCGAGGCATTTCTCTCTCCTGAACCACCTCCAACCCAAGCGCGAGTACCGTCACTCAAACTACTAATTTGCGGAACCTGGTTGTAACTCTTCTCTCTCTCTCTCTCTCTCTCTCTCTCTCTCTCTCTCTCTCTATATATCTATTATATTTGTATATATATATATATATATATATATATGACTACCTAGTCATAGGGCCTGTGGCTGGGGTAAAGGGCATATCTGCCTCGACTGCGCCTGTTCGACCCATTCATAGACAATCCAGAAGCGCGCCTCTACCTAGACAAGTTCCTGGAAACCAACAAATGGCCCTTGGCCATAAACTGCATGGCCGCACGAAAATGCGTATTTCACGTGAGAACAGTGTACCCCACCTCAGACAAGTTATTCCTGGCAGCCATCAAAGAGCTTCTGAGTAACAACCCCACCTGCACCGTTTCAACCCTCGACCATAAATGTCTCTACTCTACCCCTAAGCCGCTTAGCCGCTATAACCCTAAACCCTCCCCAAGGCGTGCCTTTTGCCGATCCCGCTCCTGTCCCTCCTCGCCGAAGAGCGCCCGCAGCAAGGAACAGAGCTGGGTCTCGTTGGGTGTGATGCCTCGCGAACTCGACATTGTGTTTTCGCAGAGCTACGTATACGAATAGCAACTTAAACTGAGCCCTCAACCCAAACAAACCTGTATACAGTCTTGAAGCTCAAGCTGCAGTCTAGCACTGAGAACCACAGGGATCGAAGCTTCAACGTGTACGGGATTTAGGCTTTCCATCGCACAGAACAAGGCTGCCGAAGAGTTCCACTGAAGGGCCATAGAGTTCTTCGGTAACAAGCTTCCCCCTCCCTTTTGAGACTTTGAGCCCGATTTTCCTGAGCGCTCCAGTGAGGCAGGTTTTGGCTGTAGACTTCACGCTTGTTGCAGGTCTACTCCTCAGCCTGCACATGAGGGGTGCTTACTCAAACTGAACCAAGTAAACTATACCGCTGAAGCCTGAACCAGCCTGATCAGGCTAGTTCCCTAACCTTGCAAGAGGCAAAGCAACGGACGGAACACCAGGCGATGCAAGTACACGCATTCCAGCATTCCGTGCAAAAGCCCTATCATTGTGCAGCACGTGTGCGCCGATCCATCGTGAGACACAGGCCATCCAAAAGCAACAACCCGAACCATAGCACTCGTTTACCAGCTCCTCACAGCTTCCCGATCACCTCGGACTGCATCATGCCAAACCACCAGAACCGACAATGACTGGGTTCAGACCCCAAAAGTAACTCCTAAACCTCATGAGCCAAAAACCCCAAGCTCCAAACACCAAAGCCATTATCACAGAGGGGCCGTTCTCCCTCATGGAGATGTATAGTTCGAAGCATCTCTCGTGGTAGTCCGGGGAATAAGACAAGCCTTAAGGCTCGGAGTTTGTCATGAGCTCTTCTGAAGGCTCTACAGGCATGTGGGTGTTGGGTCCAGAGTTCAGAATCGAGGGTTTGAATGCTGTCGGCTTTGGAGAACGAAAAACTGTCTTTATGGCGCCGCTGGAAGATCAAGCACATCAGACCTCGAAAGGCTTTGGATGTCCCCAAAGGGGCAAACAGACATGATCGTGGCTTTTGGGCGTTCAAGGCTAACGGTTCTTTGTTTGAGTGGCTACAAGCCTCAGCCTAACCTAAGCCAGTTTTCTAAACTTCGGCTGTCTCGTCACCTCGGAACGAAAGCCTTGTGGTCGTAATAAGCTCGCAGTTTGAGTAATTTTGGGGCTCCGAGCCTTTAAAGCGCAGGGTTTTGTGAGTTGGGGCTTTTAGGGTTCGGGTTTCGATGCATTGGTCCTCCTGCTCTGGTCTGGAGTTGACGAAACAGTCTTGGAAAGCAACACCAATTTGTGAGCCAGCTCTTACCACTCTAAGTCCCCACAGAGTCGTAGAGTGTCGCACATGCTTTCAAGAGGGTTCATCCGGAAACGCACGAGAAGGACAACAAAAACGGTGTCTGCTGGCAAAACTTCTCCAACCCTCCACACCCCAACTTTGTGCGCCTGGCCAGCTATTTTGGACCCGAGGCTAGCACTTTTACTGCTGTAAATCACATATCTTTGTACCAGAAATCTTGGACCCCAAATCAAGTTTCCAGGCCCGCTCCAAGCTCCATCTTAGTTGAGATGGACCCTGCCCAAGGAAGCTAAACTTTTGCTACGGCACCGTGCAGCACCGTGTGATAGCAGGAGTTGTTCAACGCAATACCGTCTTCCTGGAGACACGATTCAGGGTTTAGCTTAGGGTTTAAGCATGTTCAGGATATGTATGTATGTTTGTATGTATGCATGTGCCGTATATGTATGTGTGCGTATGTGTGTATGTCTGTGTGCATAAATGCATACGGCATACATACATACTAACACCAACCTACTTGGTACTGACATGCACGATTGATGCCTACAGACATACATATATACATGCATACATACACACAGACAGACAGCCAGGCAGGCAGGCAGACAGATGTGTTTGTGGTAAGCATGCATGCATGTACATGTGTATATACATTGACATGCGCATGCAGGTATAGTTGTGCATGTATTATGCATTCATGCAAGCATGACAATGCACCTCGGACAGAAGCATCCTCGAGATGCTAACGTTAGTTGAAAGCTTCGGGTCTCAACGCCCTTACGAATGAAACCCCCTTGTCTTGCCCTGCCACACCCCCCCCTCCCCATAATACGTTTCTGAAACCGCATCCGAACTCCTCTTGCCTTGCAGGTCTGTAAGAACTAAAGGCTTAACTTAGAGTCTGCCCTTCTCATCGTAAACTCTTCGAGGCGGATGCACTTCCAATAGAACAGTTCGAGCTTAGATTGTCAGGTTCATTTCTTCTGAATCCAAAGACCTGTATCTACGTAACACCAGCTCATCGGACCTGCATCTGATCCAGAAGAGTGATGATGTTCTCCTCGGCTTTCGCGGCTGCATCGCTTAGCGCTTCGAAATTTTAGGGGTTAAGGGCTAGATAGGCTTCCAATCTTAGACTCTGCGAATATAAGGAAGGGCCATTTTTGGGTGTGTCGGGCCCGGGTGTCCTGGCCTGTATCGCCTGACGTTACCTCTTGAATGGTTTTGGAGTAATCTGGCTTACGGGATTAGAATTGCGAAGTTTAGAGTCTGAGGATGAAGCGCTTAGGGTTGGAGCCCACGCCCAAGTACTCTCTGTGTTCGAGTCCCCCGATGTTGCCAGTACAGGGGCCCCTTTAAGCTTTAAACCCACCCTCCCCCCTCGCAACGGATGTGCATCTGCAATCCGTTTTCGCCTGAGGCCCCTGCCCACTTCTTCCGGGAGTTGCAAGAGCCCAATGCAAAATCGTAGCTGTGCCTTAGTGCTAGATCTAAGGTCCAGGCATCTTCGAGAGGGCTCTCTATTGGTTTCGGGGGGGGGGGGGGGGGGGGTGGCCGACGTCTTGCAGATTTAGGGCTCTTGTACAGCATCCCTTCTCCAGCTACCCGTAGAGCCGGAATGCAAGCAGTGTGTGCTGCTTCAATGTATCCATGACCTTTGAAGACAATGTTGGCAAGATCGAGGCAAACTCCGGCTGCGACATGATTTGTGGTCTCAGGTAGCATGCATCTTTCCAACCGGCTGATATCCCACGATTCGAATCAGCGGCACTGTGATCAGCCTCTAGCAACCGTCAACCTGTAAGCCTGGAGCTCAAGCCTGCAAGACTTCAATGACGATGGCTGGCCGAAGGGAAGTCAGGGCTTAAAACATACCCTTGAACATGCACCAGTGTCATTTTTTATGAGGCGACCCTCAATGCCCTCGTTGCGTTTAGGGTATGCCGCTCTACACTTTGAGCCCAAGACCTGAAACTCTGATATTGCCCTATGCTCTAAACCATGAACCACCACCTGCTGCCACATTCCCCTGAAGATCTGCAGGTGGAATGGGCAATAGATTTGCGGTCTTTTACAATCGTGACAATTCCAAAAAGGTTTCTCATAGTAAACCACGTTATCCAAGGGCGGTAGACTTACATCAGACTGAATCCTCAGACCTGCGAGCCCCAGAAACTTCAAAGCAACAAACAAGCACAGCAGCAGCAGCAGCAGCAGGAATAGTCGTCGTCGTAGCACTCGCAGCAGACGCACTAGTAGTAGTAGTAGTCGTAGTCGCAGTCGCAGCAGCAGTCGCAGTGGCAGTCGCAGTGGCAGTGGCAGTGGTAGTGGTAGTGGTAGTGGTCGTGGTGGTAGTAGTAGTCGTCGTCGTGGTGCTGGTGGTGGGTCGCGGTAATTAGTAGTCATCGTCGTAGATGTACTAATAGCAGCCAAGAAACAGTAGCAGACATACGAAACTAAAGCCCTGCTTAACTCATGCCCATGAAATTTCTAGGACCCCGCGCACGTCGGGCTTCAGGCTGTTGAGACGCATTTCCTCGAGCCTCGGCTGGTTTCGACACTCCCACTTGCCACGGCCCAGCACGGATTCCCGGATAGGAGCATGCTCTATGCCCGAAACATAGGTGAGTTACAGCCTGACGCATAATTGAGGACTGCCATGTCCTCAACGTAAGAGTGGAATCAGGCTGCGCGGTCTATGCGCGATTTTTGCCGAACCAGGACCAACTACGTGCATTCTGAAGGTCGGTGCGACCCGCCCCGCTCTTCTTAAACACGAGAAATGCTCTTATAAGGCATCATGCTTCTAGCAAGCTACTAGCTCGCTTAATCTGGCATCATGTATCTGCGTTGGTATACAGGACAGGCAACTCACTAGATACTGGTAAGAAGGACTACTGCCACAAACGGGACAATGGATACTCTGCAACACGATGCCTCAGGAACACAAATCCCGCTTGAACTCGTTTCCAGCCCCCCGAATCGAGACTGACACCCTTTCACCTGAAACCGGCAAAGGTCAAAACCAAACCACTGAACCTCCAAAACCCCTCAGTCGAGTATCAGTTCGGTGGCAGACTTCGTCGACCTGAACGCATTGGGTGCGTTCTGTTTTGGTACAATGAAGCCTTGGCTTTGTCGGCTGTAAGCGTACTTGCCCAGTCTCTTCGGGGATTGACAGGTTTACCTTGGGGAGTCATGGGTGTACTCTCATGGAGATTAAGGGAGACATCTTTCTGCTCCTGAGTACAGCTGTGCAAGTTCGGAGCTTCAGATGGGTTCGGACGCAGGTCGGTCCCTCAATGCTTCGAGCACTGCTTGGTAAGAGGTGGCATTGGGGTTGAAACTTGATGACATTTGGGGAACGGCTGGTTGTGGTGTCGAGGATGAAATGGGTTCTGAAACCTTTAAACATGTAGACCTCACTCAGGACCTACTATTGGCCTGCCTGTATCTCTGGGCAAGCAGAATGAAGGTCTTGCAGGGCTTGGGACTCTCCACCACCGGGGTGATTGAAGCGCCTTGGGTTATGGCCCCCATGCATTCACAGTGGCTCTAAATTTGGAGACCCGCGAGAAGGTCGCCACATGGAGAGGGGCTTTGGTGAACCATAATCCCTGAAGCGCCTCCCTTTGTCACTTATGAAACGCCGCAAGCCCTGCCGGTGACCCTCTCTGAGTTCCCGAAGCCCCGCCGGCCAATGCCGGCCAATCAACACCCCAAACCCCGGTCCTGTTCAGCGCATGGATTCTGAGGATCAGGTTATAGCATGCCAGGTCCGGTCTCACTTCACGCTGCCTGGCTGCACCCAGAGCTCAATAAAGGCTTACACCTTAAGTTGTGGAGAGCTCATTATTATGGCATTATGGTTTCTGAAATCAATCAATGGGTATTGATTGGGCTCTGTCTCGGTATCTCGAAAGCTTCGAGCAAAGCTTTGGTGTGCTTGCGGGCTCTTCGTTTGAAGTTTCGAGCCTAGGGCCTCTAGCCTTTGTTATTGTTGGTCTACCTCCGGCTGGAAACCTGTACACCCTACAGAAAAGGCTGCTGTGGGCCTGCGTTTGTCAAATGTTTTGTCCCCTGGGTTGCGTGGTCTGGCAAAGTCATTCCACAGCAGCCAGATCCCAAACCTCGGATCCATGAAGCTGCTTCGGAATCCATCATGCCCCGAGCAGAACATCTAAAACTCGCGAAGCCCTAAATCTCTCAGCCCGAAATTCGCCTGAGCTCGTCTAGCAGGCTGAAGGTGTCGGGGAGCATCCCCAGCTGAACCATGGCTGACAACTTCTCCTCCCAGGCGCAGTCTAGCATCATCATATAGGTTCGAGGCCTCTATATATATATAAAAGCACAGAGGTAGGTTCTGATCCCTCACAGTAGTTGCAGGGTACAAACCTTGAAACAGTCGTTTATTGGAACCACAGGTAGACGTTTAGGGTCAAACTTTCCGTCAGTGTCTGTCACTAGCGCTCTTGTATTGTGAGAGCTTTGTGCTCAAACACATACGTATCCATCTTTGCTGCGTTGTACAAGGTTCTGCGTCGCACCGGGTTTGGGGTTAACGAAAAAAGAGGAGAGGCCGGTCCGGTAAAACGGTTACCGATAATCCGACAAGGCTTCCTGGCTTGTACCCTCAAATAGGGGTATATGGCCCCAAATAATGGGTACTTAGGGTCTAATAGAGGGTAGATGGAGGGTCTAGGATTACGAGTCGCTCTCAGCGAATGAGCCTCGCTCTTCGGGCTTCTGGTCTAGGAGATCTGATGCTCAAGCCGAGATTGGAGTTTACACGCCGAAAAGCCTCAACATCTGCATCCTTGGCCCCTTGATGCTTGGTACAGCCCAAGAGCCCTTATGGAACCCTTAAAACCCAAAACCCGAACCCTCAAACCCAAAATCAGGGCCACTCTTCGAGGCCCGCGCATAATAAGCCTCCGGAGTGGCAGTCAGCGACTCGAAGTCTAGAAAGAAGTTTAAGACCTGCACAAGGACCCTCCTTGTACCCTCAAATAGGGGTATATGGTCCCAAATAAGGGGCATTTAGGGTCTAATAGAGGGCAGATGGAGGGTCTAGGCACTGTTGTTTTGGGGGCTTTCGGGGGTTGACATGGGCTTTTGAGCCAATTCTTGTCTAACTAGAATCTAGAATGGCAAGTGCAGTGCTCACATGCACACGGACCTGTTTTGCTTTGGAGGCCTTGGAGGAAGAGTTTCGATGTCCGGCTCTCTCTCCCTGCCTCCCTCCCTGCCTCCCTCCCTGCCTCCCTCCCTGCCTCCCTCCCTCCCTGCCTCTCTCTCTCTCTCTGTCTCTCTCTCTCTCTCTCTCTCTCTCTCTCTCTCTCTCTCTCTCTCTCTCTCTCTCTCTCTCGCGCTCTCTCTCTCTCTCTCTCTCTCTCTCTCTCTCTCTCTCTTTCTCTCTGTCTCGCTCTCTCCCCCTGAAACTGCAGGCCGCTTCTGCTCTGAAGCCGCTACAAACCCTACAAGACCCGCCCGCCTCCAAACCCCAAGCCGTGCCGGCCGTGTAAACATTAACTGAATCCTGTCAAGTTCATAAGCCCCCGACACTCTAAACCGCAAGGCAACGTGGGCACCCTAATGAAATAATGGGGTCACTGATAGAATAATTAGCAGCCCCCCTTCACACCGCTCTCTCCGTTGTGGGAATCGAGCGAGTCGACTGGTGAAGTTCCATCGAAGCACGCGCAACGCTCGGAATCTGCAAGACGAATCAACTTAAGAAGAGCCGCGTAGTGTAGAAGGCATCAAGGGCTTATGCCATAGGGCGTCGGGGAGCTTCAGACTTGGGGTTTCAACTCTACGGGCCGGCACAGTCCCTGAAGCGGTGAGTGCCTCTTCGTCCATACCTGAAAGCCGCAGAGCTCGAAGCGCCTGGCCAACGAAGCGGGATAATACAACCCGAGCAACTTGCTTCGCAACTCTGTACGCTCAAGTCCTAAAGCGCTGCAGCAAGCTTCGGCTTAGACTTCTAGGATTTCGTGGCTCTATAGGCATCACAACTGACGGAAAACAACGGGTTGTCCCCGGGACCACCCGTTTGGTGCTGACATAGTTCCATCAGCCCGACTTTAAGACCTAACCTCGTGCTGGCCGGTGCACGTGGCAGCCTTATCCCGCAAGCACAGTATGACATATAATCAGGAGTCTTAAGCCCTGAAGCCCCAGGAAAACTCTAAGTACGCAGGCTGCGGTATCACAGCGTGGGGTGTTAGGTTGTTCGGGTCTACGGATCCAGGATTTCGGACTTGAAGGCTAGTCCAGTGCCAGAAAGCTTAGGGTGTCGTATAGGTTTTGACTATGGGGCATGACACCTTAAATTATAGAGCGTTCCCTCACCAGAATTTAGCGATTCGAGTGCCCGGGCGCAAAGTATGCATCAAGCTACATGCACGCCTGTAGCAGTGGTACACTTCATGAAACATGTATGCACACTGGCTGTTGTTTGCACGGACAAACACATGTGTCCATGTTCTAGCGTGGCGAGAAAGAAAGACAGAGAGTCAGAGAGAGAGAGAGAGAGCATAAGAGCACGGGCAGTTCTTTGTAAGCAATCAGGAAAAGCGCTCAAAACCAACTGTACTGGTTCAAGGTTGCATCGTGCAGATGCAGCTTGTTGGGAGGTCCAGGAGTTTTGGGCCTTTGGTGGTTTGCTGCGCTTTGGCACCTCAAACTACACTCGAGTACGTACATCAACCCCGTTACAGCTTCAATAGGGGATGGGGCCATAGACCCCTAAACCCAAAACCGCTTGAATTCCTAAATCCCTTTTGCAGGCAATCGCCGGTGACGGATACCTTGTGAAACTCTGGCTTCCTAGATTGACAGCCGCCGACCGAAAGTGCTTTGCAACAAGGAGATCAACAGGGCCGTCGGGGCCTATATTCAAAGAACCCCGATCCTCTTCACTCCTGAACATGACTTTGATTACAAAGGTGCGGCTGTTGTGTTGCAAGTGTACACTTCATCGAATTTACGTGGGGTCTTCGGGTGAGGTGCCCTGCTCCACGGAGTCGAGGCTGCAGCGCTTCACAACATGTCGCGACAGTCTTGGGCTCACCAGGACTCACAGTGTCATCTTCGGCTCCTCAGCTTGCAGCAAGCTTTCTCAGGCTCGCACCATAACTTAACAGCCAAACTCTGAATCTCAAAACTCCAAGTGAGACAATTTCCTCCAACTCTAGGAAGGAACTCTGAATCTCATGTCAATGTCGATTGGAGGGATTCCTCTTAAGTGCAATGTGGCGGCATGGAACAATCCGGGAGCAAAAGCATCAAGACGAAGGTGCTATGGCATGGAATACACGGCATTTATCCTCGCACCAGAACTTGTTTGATTACGAGCTATCGCGCGGGAGTGGGATGTTCTCTGACTGCCCAAAAGTACATCGAGGCGGCGCCTAGCATCAGGATGGCCCACCATACGCACTCACAGAACCGCAAGCCGCATGCCCCCAAACCCCGTTATCCTCCAAACCCTGGGTACCCGAAGCCCAAAACCTCGAACAAGCCATTCAGAAAATTCCTCGGTTTCTCCTGGAGTAGGCATGTGGAATCATACAAGCCGCCTTAGGCCCAGGGAAATTTCCGCAACATAGAGTGAGGTCTCAGTGATTAATACCAAAAATAATGTCCTCTGGTAGTCCTTCTGCAAGTATAGTGAACCCCCCTTCCTTATTAAAGCTAGACGCCGCAAGCTAGTGTCTCCAGCTCCCTCAGCCCACTCGTAAATTTGAAGGCCCTACAAGAACCCAAACTTAAAAGCAGAAAGCTCCAAAGCCACACATCCGGGAGATCCCAAAACCCTCAAGCTGCTAAAGCGCAAAACCCTAACCCACCCACCCCTCAACAAAAAAAACAAAAGCCTTAAAGCCTGAAGCCCCAGAAGGCCCGAAGCCCTGTGCATTATAAAACAACTGCTATAAAGCTGCGAATAATATTGATACTAATATGAATACTAACATTAAAATCAAGGGTGATACTAACAATCAATACTAATAAAGATACTACGTAGTTTACATTTAATATTGCTATTGCTGTTGTTATTGTTAATAAGAATAAGAATAAGAATCTCATAATAATAATAATAATAATACTGATAATAATAATAATAATAATAATAATAATAATAATAATAATACTGATAATAATAATAATAATAATAATAATAATAATACTGATGATGATGAGCATCTCCAGCTCCGGAAGCTCCAGAAGCTCCAGGCCCAGATCTGGAAAGCGCCGTTGAAACTGACGCAGCGCCGCCAGGCAGGAAAGGCAGGGGCTGATCGTGGTGAACCTCGAGAGGTTTATAGGGTTCTATAGCTATGATGGGGTTTCTTTTTAAGGGTACTATGGGCTCCCTTTAAGGGTAGGATAGTGACTGTAGTGGTGCCTGAGGGTTCAAGGTTATTGACTTGTGTTTTATGGCTGAGCTTATGGTGAACCTCGAGCTTTCGATGCTCAGACTCGCAGAAGAACAGAGCAGAGCAGAGCAGAACAGATTTTTGCTGCGGTCGATCATGGGCACCCATCAGGTCACAGCCTAATCTCGGTGTTCTGCGCACGTCAACAGCGGCTGTGCTCTGGAGTAGAGAAGTGAAACATTGTCGAGACCCAGCCGCAAAGGCCAGCCTGAGTGAAGTTCGAGTGGCACTAAGCTTTGCCCATGCGGCGGGACGTAGACCACTGACCAAATTCAAACCGGATGGGACATGCAGCAGGGACCCTATCATCTTCATGGTTACGGCTAGACGGATTTGTACTCAGTGGTCTACAGTGCTGACCTCGCACGGTCTAAACCACTGCCCTCACTGCCGAAGTTGTTTTGTTGTCGATCCTTTTCTGGGCATCTGCTTGGAGCTCTTTCAGCTTCTTCAGCTCTGCCAGCCTGACACCCATCGGGAGCTCTTCACCGAGTCTGGCATACTGCTCCTCAAGCCGGCCCAGGACTTCCTCTCTCTGGTTCTTCTCCTGCAGCTGCTTCACCTTCTCCTTGTCGCCGACGCCCCGAGACATGTTCTCATCCAGGCGCTGCTGTGCTTTGGCAGCTGCCATCTTTCTGCGCTCTTCACGCTCGGCCTCGCTGATGTCTTCTGAAGCGTCGGCATTTGAGCGGCCAATGGTTGTGGCCATCTGCGGCCGTGGTGCTGGCGAGGTGACAGCAAACTTCGAGTCCTCCTCCATGTCCCGGTACTTGCTGCGGAAAAGCCATTGGCAACACTTCATTCGAACGTAGGCACCCTCTGCCGACGCCTAAGACGACGGTAGCGTCCAGCACGCGATCCGATGTTCAAAGGGTTTAGGATCAGGTCCCTGGCATTTTGACGACCTCACATCCCCAACCCCTGAAACGCCACAGCCCTCCAGATGGAAGCTTCAGGCCTACTTAGGGAGTTTGAGTCTCTGATCGCTTCAGTGCTTGTAAAGGTTTCCAGATGTAAGGTTTCAGAGGATCGAACATGGGCATGGTGCTGCAAGACTGCAATAGTGAAGCCAGAAGGGCATCGGCAAAGAGCTCAAGACGTGCAGCAGCAAAGCGCCTTGAAGAGCATGGTATGCGGTATGCATGCAAAAAGATTCCCATCCACACCAGGGGATCGAAATCCGAAACCAGAATTTAGCTGCCGAGCAACACAGACACCACCCCGACGAGCTGAGAGGGCGCCACTGGGCTGCCAGAGATAATCCGTGTCAGCTCCTTGGTGGCTTTCAGAGATAATCTGTGTCAGCTCCTTGGTGGCTTTGCAGATTAGGATTTAAGGCTCTTGGCCTCTGTTGCCTCCCGTGCGGCGAGGACGAGCATTCAGAGCAAAGGCTTCTGGGGCTTGGCAATTTCGAATGTTTGGGCGTTCTGAGAGGTTGGGCTGAGGGTTTGCGCTTCAGGGAAGGGAATCCGAACCTGGTAAGTTCACCGCACCACTCGCGAAAGGCTTTCCACCTAATGGCTTGGACGGGTGCCTGTGACCTACAATGTTGCATTTCTCGTTGCACCTTCCTAAGAGGCGTGGTGCGACGGGACGAGTCAGACTTTGCAAAGTAATTTGACCCTCAACGCCATGCCTACTGGCCTAGTTGCCGCATCCGTAATCCCCAAATTCCTAGTCCACCAACCCAGACTTCCGCGTCTGGCGCTTCGGCCAGTGAAGCATAATTTTGGTTACGTGTTCCAAGCCACCCCGACAACCCCATGCACCGCAGGGCCAAAGATCTAAATCCAATGCCCAACAGCCGAAGCCCCGAACCCCGAATCCTAGCCTTAACCCCCAACCCCAACCCCACAAACCCTAGGTACACCCTTATGAAATCTCTGTACTGAAAAGATAACCTGCAAAACCCTCAGCCAAAACTCTAACACAAAGTCCCAGGTTCAGACAGCGCTTGAAACTCAGCACACAGCTCTCGGTTCACCTGGTAGCAGGGTCAAGGGAAATTGTTTGCAAAGCTTGGGCTCAAGGATTCAAGGGTCGAGGAGTGAAGATACATGTGGGGTGTACCCAAGAAGGGTCCCTGCAGGGAGGGCACCCAGAGCTCCTCCGCAGAAAAGGAGGAATGCTCACGAATCCGATAGGCTCAAAATCCTACAGACGAAGAATGAAATCCTCAAGCGTGTAGACATCCGACACCCGAATCCCAAGTTGAGAGTACCCGAAGAACTGGGCAGCACTTCGACCCAGAGCCCATGGAAGTCCCAGCCCGGAACGCTGCATCCAGGTGGAATCCCCGAAAACAAGAATCCATAGACTCCCCCCAACCTACCTACTAAACACTAAGCTCCCAACTTAGACCATAGAAGCCTTAAGCCGAAGATCCAGCGCCGGATAACCAGTAGGCACAACATCCTAGTTGACCGCTTGCTGTCTTTATGGTGCCTC